GTATGTCACACACATAGATATATCATCAATATTTTTGGGATTTATATCATGGCTCAGACTGTGGCCATTTTGGAAAGTGGAGGTACATGTTGCATGTGCACTTGAGAAGAATAGTTTGTTTTTCATTGCTTCTGGGTGAAAGGCTGGGTGCTCTATGACTGGGTCTGAGGAGGGAAATGAACCACTTCCTTATGTCAACATGACTGGGAGCTTGTACTATGGCAGGAGCTGGACAAGATGCCCTGTCCCTTTCCTCATTGGCTCTCAACCTAGTGAAAGCCATAGAAAACCTGTAGCAGGAGCCTTGACAAGAGAATGGGGTGGGCCACATGCTCACACTGGGGGCATGATGCACCCCCAGAAAGCATGATAAAGTCACTACTCCAAGCATTGGGTTATCTTGGGCAGTGCTCACTTGCTTCCCTCTAGCAGGTATAGACTGAAGACCACTGCAAGCCAATGCTAGTGGCTCCCACCTGTAATCTTAACTCCTCAGGAGGTTGGGATCTGAGGATCATAATTCAAAACCAGCCTATGCAGGAAAACCTGTGAGATCCTTCTCGCCAATTAGCTACCAAAAAGCCAGAAGTGGAGGTAGAGTGGCAACCTTGAGTGAAAAAGTTAAGAGACAATGCCCAGCCCTTGAGTTCAAGCTCCAAAACCCTCAAAAACCCACTGTGGGGTAAAAAGCCAAAAGGTATGGATTAGTTGAATCCCTGGTGGTTTCTAGAGGTGTTCTTTTTTCATTGTTGTCTGTTTTCAGTTTTGGTTTTGTGCTGGTTTTGTTGTGCCCAGGTCGCAGGACCCCCACCAAGATCACCTAGAGTCAGACTTTACAGCTGTTTTAAGGTTTTATTTAGATGGGCTGCAGCTTGGGCCTTGTCCTACATTCCAACACAGCAGAGCCAAGGAGAAGAGCCCCGAGTTAAAGATTTGCAGGGCTTATGAAGGCACACAACCAACCAGGTGTTTGGATTACCACCACGTATTGCTCTGCTAGACAGAATTTGCTGATCTTAGGTTCAGTTTAAACAAGCAACAAGTGGTCACTGCCTCAAAACTTTAACCCTTCAGTTTGAGGTTTAAACTTAGGGCCTGTGGCTCTTTTTGGCTTTTTTTGCTCAAGGCTAGCACTCTACTACTTGAATCACCACTCCACTGCCAGCTTTTTTGGTAATTAATTGGAGATAAGAGTCTCACAAAATTTTCTGCCCCAGATGGTTCTGAACCTCAACACTCAGGTCTCAGCTCCCTCAGTAGCTTGAATGGCAGCTGTGGGCCCCAGCATCTGGTTCAATTACTCTTCTCGTGACAACATTTCAGTGAGACCCGGAAGAAGCCTGCCTCATGCAACCTGTGGTTTTTGTTCTTTCTCTGTCAAAGGCTGAACAGCATTCAGGAAGCCCTAGGATGAACTAATTCCTGAAGCCATGATGGGGTTGGATGAACGTCCAGTGCGCATGGCAGGAAGTGCTCGGGAACTGGCTCCTCCCTCTGGGGGACTCCATGAGGGAGGCTGGGCATGGAAAGAGCTCAGCTGCTGCCAGCTCCCTTGAATGGAGGCTCAAGAGCCGTCAATAAGCGTATTTATACTTATAAATGACATTTCTTGCCCATTTAACTTGGGGCCTCAAGTTGGCTGAGCCTGTTGATAGCCACCAAACCATGCCAGGTCCTCCAGGGTGGGGAGCTGATTGGGGCTGGGGTCTGAGAACTTGCATGGGAAAATAAAGGACTTGGGTTCCTCTCCTCAACTTGAAGCCTGGAATTCCCTTCCCACCGTGCAGTGCGGTCTGCCTCACACAGACCACTGGGGAGGAGGGCGCATGGGTGGGGAGGACAGCAGGAGTCACAGGGCCTTCCCGCCATATTCAGAAAACCCCCATCTGTCACTGTGTTACGGTGGCCGCTTTCTGTCTGTCCCGAAGAAGCACATGTATTTTTATATCACAATTTGTTTTTAAAGGATAGTTTTTGGTTTTTTTTTTTTTTGGTTTTTGATTGTGCTGATCTAACAGGATTTGATTTTTTTAATTTTTATTTCTATTTTTTAATTGTGAAAATACTGTACAGAGGGGTTACAATTACAAGGGCAAGATAATGAGTGCATTTCTTATCAAGCATTGTAGCCTCCTCCTTTGTTTCCCCTTCCCATCCCTTCCCATCCTCCTCCCCCCCTACCCAATCCTCCTCCCCCCCACCAAAGTTGTAAAGTTCATTTTTCCACATAAGGACTTGTACATCTCATTGTTGCAATGGGTCCACCTGTATCCCTATTTAAACGATTTGTTTTTTCCCTTCCCCTCCACAAATTATACCAACCTCAAATACAGTAAAAGCAGGGGTTATACCATGGGGGAGGGACTTACAAAGCAACAAAGAAATAATCTTATAAATGTGTTAAAACAATCACCTGAAAGAAAAAAAACCATTTGAATACATATCTTAGGGTTCATTTCCCTAACATCAACTTATCTGACCTTTTCTGCTTGTCTCAGACATATACTAGTTATTGAAAATAAGGGAAACCATGGGACCTAAGTTTCTTTGGGACTGGCTTACTTCACTTAATATAATTTTTTCCAAGTCTTTCCATTTCCTAACAAATGGGGCAATGTCATTCTTTCTGATGGAGGCATAGAATTCCATTGTGTATATATACCACATTTTCTTGATCCATTCATCTACTGAGGGGCATCTGGGTTGGTTCCATATCTTAGCTATGGTAAATAATGCTGCAATAAACATAGTCATGCTGGTAGCTTTAGTGTGGTCTTGTTTGTGAGCATTTGGGTAAATGCCCAAAAGTGGGATTTCTGGGTCATAGGAGAGCTCTATGTGGAGTCTTTTGAGGAACCTCCATACTACTTTCCAATGTGGTTGAACAAGTTTACACTCCCACCAACAATGCAGTAAGGTTCCTTCTGTCCACATCCCCTCCAGGATCTGTTGTTATTAGAGTTCTTGATTTTTGCCATTCTAACTGGGGTAAGGTGGTATCTCAATGTTGTTTTGATTTGCATTTCTTTTATGGCTAGGGAGGTTGAGCATTTCTTCATGTGTCTATTGGCCATCCTTCTTTCCTCTTCAGAGAAGTTTCTCTTTAAGTCTTTAGCCCACTTATTTATGGGGCAGTTGTTTCTTTGAAGATTTGTTGTTGGGGGATTTAATTTTTTGAGTTCCACGTATATTTTAGATATGAGACCCTTGTCTGTTGTAAGGCTAGTGAAGATCTTCTCCCAATCCGTGGGCTTTCTATTAATCTTGTTAGCTATGTCCTTTGCCATACAGAAGCTCTGCAGTTTCATGCAATCCCATTTGTCCAACCTTTCTTAAAGGATAGTTTTAAAATACTAAACGTGGAGTTACCCTATGATCCAGCACTACCACTCTTGGGGATTTATCTGCAGGTTAGGTTACAGCAAAGGCATCTGTATGCCCATATTTACCACAGCACGGCTCACAATAGCCAATCATGGAAACAACCCAGATGCCCCACAACAGATGAATAGATATAAGAATATTATATTATGCATATAATATATAATATATACTACATACGATATATGCTATGTAGTATATAAAATAAATAATGAATATATATAGTATATGTTATATAGTATATATCTTATATGTAATATATACTATATAATATATCCTGAATAGTATAAATGTAATAAAGTATATATTATATAAAATAATTATGTAGCATATATTTATATAATATAGTGTATGTAATATAGTTAAGTATATAATGTGTTATACTATCTTTTATACTATTATATTATACTATATTTTATATAGTATAATATATAGTATGTAGTATATAGTATATGAAAAATCATGCTTGCACCAATCACAGCAGTCACTCATGCAAATGAAAGTGTAATTTCTTATTTATATGAGGGATTGTGCCATGATTGTGTCTTCATTCACATGGTTGATTGCTCTGTTTGGTGCAAGCATGATTTCTCCTTTACATGATGGCTGGGACATTTGTTGCAAACATAATCCTTCATTCTGTGATTGGTAGATAAAGCCAACTTGCCACACCCCCTTTCTGGCTATATAAGCAGGCTGTTTGGCTTTCTTTGTGAACCAGCCTGGAGTCAGTTATAGTGAGTGCCCTTTGTGATCCTTTCTTGCTGACTTTTGATCTTTTTCCAAGCTGGAAACCCAGAAAGAGGCTTGTAGGAGAAACAGAACAGTAGTAGTGGGTTGAGGGACCAGCTGTGCAAAGGTGGCAATGGCTGGAATCTCAGTGATGGCAGCAGCAGTAACGAGAGAGTCATGTAGAACTCCAGAGAGTGGCTGGAAGCAGAGACAATAGAGACAGAGGGTTGAGAAGAGATGAACACAAGAAACCATGAGCCATTGCTAGTGCAAGAATTGCAGAGAGCTGCCAAACTTTACCTGTCAAAGCCCTTAAGTGCTAGGCTGAGGGCTATAGCACTTGTCACAGGAGAGTAAATGGTCTCACTACTCAAGATTTATGTAGCAAGTGTGGCCTGCTGCTACTGGCTGGACCCATTGCTGCCAGAAGCCAATAATCACAAAAGCTGTCAAGTGCTGGGGATGTTGGTGATTCAACCCAGTGCAAAGGTTTCCAAGCTAAGTAACTGGAGCCCTAAGCTCAGGCTTCTTCTAAAGCCCAGGCAATAGGCCTCTAGCTTTCCGGGTTTGGAGCTGTGGGCCACTCGGCCTTGGCACTCAGGAACCAGGATTGTCAGCATGGAAGAGTTTCTCCTTACCCATGCTTCCTAGCCAGGTAGAGCAAAAGGACCTCAGCCAGCTGATTGACCCCTTCCCCCCCCCCCATGCTTGAATCTCCATGCAGTAGGAATGGCTACAGTACCCAGCATATGCCAGCTTCCTTCTACCCCCTGACAGAAGTCACCCCTGGCCACAGAGAAGGCTGAGAGGGATGGAGCAACCTTTGGTTGTGGTGGTGACTTCCTTCCTCACCAGTCACGTGGGTCCGGCTTCTGGTCCCAGGAGCCTCAAGTCACACAGCTCACGGTGCCTGCCTGACGGTGGTGAGCGGAGAGCCAGCATGTGCTCAGGGGGACACATACTGAAAGCTCTCCTCTTCCTTTTGGGTAAGTGAGGGTACTATTGGCTGGATACTAACTGGGCTAGGGGAGTGTCCTAGAAAAGCTTGTGAACAGGAAAATGGGGACCATCAGCATACTGGAGAGCCATCCTTAATAAAGGAATATGTTCCTTTGACAGATGGCTTTTTGGTCTTTGACCCTACATTGAACAATGGTCTTTCTCTCTCTTTCTCTCTCTCTTCTATATATGTATATGTGTATGTTTATACACTATATATACAAGTATATATAATATATGCATACATACATATATACTAGATATACTATATATACAGATACACACACATATATATCACACACACACACACGTGTGTGTGTGTGTGTGTGTGTGTGTGTGTATGCTGATCCAGAGGCTTGACCTCAGGGCCTGGACACTGTTGTTGAGCTTTTTTCTTTTTAAATATATATTATTTTATTGTAAAGATACTGTACAAAGGGGTTACAGTTACATGAGCAAGGTAATGAATACACTTCCCATTGAGCATTGTTACCCCCTCCTTTGTTTTCCCCCTACCATCCCTTCCCTCCCCACCTTCCTAACTTCTCCCTCCCCCCGAACCCCCAAAGCTGTAAATTTAGTTTTCAACAAAGTCTTGTACATCTCATTGTTACAATGGGTCAACCTGTATCCTTATTTCAGCATTTTGCTATTTCCCTTCCCTTCCTCAAATTAGGAAAAAAAAATATACTAGATGCAGGGTGCTGGAATCAAATACAGTGAAAACAGGGATTATACCATGAGGGAAGAACATACAAATGAAACAAAAAAAATCACCCAATACATTATAAGTACATTAAAAACAACAGCAACAAAGATAAAACCTTATATGGTCATATGTACATAGTTTTTTACCCTTCTGCTTATCCTATACATATACTAGTTATTGCAAATAAGGAAAACCATGGGACCTATGTTTCTTTGGGCTTGGCTTACTTCAACTAATATGATTTTTTTCCCAAGTCTTTCCATTTCCTAACAAATGGAGTGCTGTCATTTTTCCTGATGGAGGCATAGAATTCCTCTGTGTGTATGTGTGTATACATATACACACATAAGATATATATATATATTATATATATATATATATATATATCTTAGCTATGGAGAATAATGCTGCGATAAACATAGTTGTGCTGGTAGCTTTAGTGTGGCCTTGTTTGTGATCATTTGGGTAAATGCCCAAAAGTGGGATTGCTGGGTCATAGGGGAGCTCTATGTGGAGTCTTTTGAGGAACCTCCATACTACTTTCCAATGTGGTTGAACAAGTTTACACTTCCACCAACAATGCAGTAAGGTTCCCTTCTGTCCACATCCCCTCCAGCATCTGTTGTTGTTAGAGTTCTTGATTTTTGCCGTTCTAAATGGAGTGAGGTAGAATCTCAATGTTTTGATTTGCATTTCTTTTATGGCTACAGAAGTTGAGCCTTTCTTCGTGTGTCTAGTGTCCATTCTTATTTCGTCTTCAGAGAAGTCTCTCTTTAAGTCTTTATTAATTGGGTGGTTGTTTCTTTGAGGATTTGTTGTTGGAGGATTTAATTTTTTAAGTTCTAAGTATTTTAGATATGAGGCCCTTATCTGTTGTATGGCTAGTGAAGTCCGTAGGCTTTCTATTGATCTTGCTTTGCTGAGCTTTTTTTTTTTTTTGCTCAAGGCTAGCTTTCTATTATGTGAGCCCCAGCTCTACTTCTGCCTTTTTGCTAGTTTATTTTAGATATGTGTCTCACAGACTTTCCTATTTAGGCTGACTTTGAATCATGAGCCTCAGATCTCAACCATCTGAGCAGATAGTATTGCAGACAACAATACTCTTTGGTTTGAACTTCCAAGAGCACCTAAGTGAAGGGAGGATAGGAGAGGTCATGTGATCAGGCTTGAGACCTAGAAAATCATTTCCCACTGTGGTTCCATTGTTGATAAACTAGAATAAATTTCTAGAATGCTCTGGAAGTCAGTTTCTCAAGTGATGACATGGGAGGCAATAATGTTTATTTTATAAGATTGTGAGAGAACTAAGTTGAATCTAACCAACTAAAATCAAGAGGCTTACATAAAAATAGAAGGTGTAGGTAGGGCGATACTGCTATTCATTACCCAGATATATTCTTTAAATCACCTCTAATGCTGTGTACTGAAAGAAGGAAAGAGGAACAGAGGTTGAAACGAATAGTAAAGTAGGACCAGGTAGAAAGAGAAAGTTATAAATATCTTAGAGTGCTAGCCTTAAGCAAAAAAGCTCAGGGACAGCACGCAGTCTTTGATATCAAACCCCTGGACCAGCACAAAAGACAAGCAGACAGAGAAAGAAATCTAGAGAGAAGAGGCAGGTGGGGATTTATGCAAATAAGAGAGTCAGGCATGGAGAAAGACTGCTTCTTTGCATTGTTTCCTTAAACACGGTTATTTCTTTAAAAGGACAGCAGGTCTGTTCAGGCCCTTCATTAGGCTGCTCAGGGCAGCACTCAAAGGCCAGAACCTATCTTGGGGTAGACTCCTGTTTATGGACAGCAGATCTGTCTCCTGAACAACAGCACAAATGATTTCCCAAAATGGGGTCCTACGTGAGCCCAAGCCAAGCAGGAGAGCAGTGACCAACACCATCTTCCTGGTCAGCAAGCCGGGCAGGCACTTACCAACTTTACCACACAGTCATGGATCCCTGACCGTCATGATGATGATGGCATGAATCATTGAACAACCATTATGGAGGTGCAGGGAAGCTGAAGTCAAAGTCTGCCTGCCCAGGAAAGTGGCAAAAGATAAGACGGTTCTTCCTCCATCCCCACCCCAAGAAAAAAGGAAGTCAAATTTAAGAAATCCCACTGAAAAAGTGTGCAAATTATACAAGCAGGCAATTCCTTGAAGAATTATAATTAAGCTATTTTTTAAAATGTTCAAACTGCCAGGCACTGGAGGCTCACACCTGTGATCCTAGCTACTCAGGAGGCTGAGATTTAAGAACTGCAGTTCAAAGTCAGCCTGGGCAGGAAGTTTGCGAGACTCTCGTCTCCAATAAACTAGTGTAAAAGCTGGAAGTGGAGCTGTGGCTCAAGTGGTAGAGTGCTAGCCTTGAGCAAAAGATGCTCAGGGACAGTACCCAGGCCCTGAGTTCAAGCCCCAGGACTAGCACAAAAAAGGAAGGAAGGGGGCTGGGAAGGTGGCTCAGTGGTAGAGTGCTTGCCTTGCATGCATGAGGTCCTGGGTTTGATTCCTCAGCACCACATAAGCAGAAAAAGTTGCAAGTGGCACTGTGGTTCAAGTGGTAAAGCGCTAGGCTTGAGCTGAAGAGCTAAAGGACAGAGCCCAGGCCCAGAGTTCAGGCCCCACAATTGTCAAAAAACAAAGAAAGAAAGAAAGAAGGAAAAAATGCATAAGGAAAGCAAGCAAGCAAGCAAGAAAGAAAGAAAAAAAGAGGAAAGATGGAAAGAAGGAAGGAAGGTAGGAAGGAAGGAAGAAATTAGACAACTCTAATTTTTTAAAGTCTTGCTTTCAACAGGCTGGAATATTATTTTTAATCTACAGAAATGTATTTATTAGAAATAAGGATATATATGATCATTGTGAAAAATTCCAGTACAGAGAAACTAAAAAGAAAGAGTACAATAACCCTTTACTGTATGTCTTTCCAGTCATTTCTTGGGTAGGTAGCAAACATGTAAAATCCAACTGCACCTACATAACCCTAGTTCCATAACTGTCGCTTGTCACCATTGCTCTATTTTAGTCCATAGAAGTCACGACTTTCATTTAAACCTAACAGCTATGGAAAGGGACATTAGAGGTTTACCATTTTAGCCAGATTCCTACTGAGAGCCACTTGTTTCTATATTTCACTATGGCTTCGGCAGTGCTGAATAGCTTCTTTTTTTTCCTTTTTTTTTTTTTTGGTCAGTCATGGGGCTTGAACTCTGGGCCTGGACGCTGTCCCTCAGCTCTTCAGCTCAAGGCTAGTGCTCTACCACTTGAGCCATAGCACCAAGTCCGGCTTTTCAGCTTATGTGGTGCTAAGGAATCGCACCCAGGGCCTCATGCATGCAAGGCAAGCACTGTATCACTGAGCTATCTTTCCAGCCCCTGAATCGCTTCTTATAAAATATATTTGGAAGCTCTGACCCTATTATTTCATTAGGATAAGTTCTTTCATGTGGTATTTTTGGGAAAAGGTGTTGACTAACTTGCTTGTGTGTGTGTGTGTGTGTGTGTGTGTGTGTGTGTGTGTGTGTGTGTGTGTGTGTGTGCATGCACATGCCTGGCTTACCTCACTTAACATGATGTGCTATAGTCCATCCATTTCCCTGCAAATGACATAATATTGTTCTTTCTAATGGATGAGCAGAATTCCATTGTGCATAAGTATCACATTTTCTTGATCCACTCACCTATTGTAGAGCATCTGGACTGTTTTCATAACTTGAACATTGTGAATAGTGCAGCAATAGACATGATGTGTAAGGGTCTTTACTGTGTCCTGACTTGTAATATACTAAGTACTGCCAGTCCTGAGACTTGAAATCAGGGATTGGGCTCTGTCTCTGAGCTCTTTTGCTCAAGGCTAATACTCTACCATTTTGAGCCATAGCTCCCCTTCTGGTTTTCTGGTAGTTAATTGGAGATAAGAGTCTCATAGACTCCTGCCCAAGCTAGATTTGAACTATGATCCTCAGATCTCAGCCTCCCAAGCAGGTAGGATTACAAATGTGAGCCACTGGTGCCCAGGAGCATGCACTTCTTAAGAATAGAAATCTTCAGAAATGGCCATGGAAGTGGAGGAGCATCTGAAGTGAAGTAAGCTGGGACCAGAAAGACAAAACCACTGCGTGTTCTCACTCTGTGGTGGGAACCAAACAGGTCAGTCTCATGGGAAGAGAGAACAGGGCAGTGGTCACCGGAGGCTGAGAAGCGGGAGGGGCCTGAGAGCCACAGAGGGAAGGTGGAACCATAGTATGTTTTAGTGGGAGGGATTCCTGTAGCACGGTGGGATAACTG